CGAAATCGCTACTTCTGAAGCGTTTAAATCAATCTTCACAGGTAGTTTTCGATGGTGCATGTTCACCGTAGGCCTTCTCAAGCAAACGACGTGCTTCAGCTGCACTTTTTTTCAAGTTAAAGCAGAAAAGCAAAGCTTCCCGCAAATGCTGTTTATTTGGCACAAAACTCGACATCTTCGTTGTTAGAAAAAATATTTTTGCGTTATGATATATGTTGGTATTACGACTGGTTATTGTTAACAGATATCCAAGCTATAAAAAATACAACTTCAGACATGTCGACTATATGTGTCATTAGCGCCATCCATGTGTGAAACCCGAAAACTTAGTTGCGCACCTAGTAAGTACTATTGTATGATCAAATGAATTCCTGAGTGAAGTTCGATCATAATTATGCGTATGCTTTCGTCCGAATAGATTACATGTAGTCATGTCACATGACTCCCGAAATGAACAAGCATCTTTAAAGATGAGCGCCAAAACAAAACAATTTGGCGCCCCGCTTGGTGCCGCGCGTGGAGCTGTCCGCTGCGCGCGCACACATCTTCATGGTTCAAAGCCGTCACAAATCGAAGGTGGGAGGGAACGACGAACGAAGTTCTAAAGAAAGGGAGGGTGACTGTACTCGGACGAAAGCATATGCATAATTATGATCGAACTTCACTCAGGAGTTCATTTGATCATATAATTATGCTATGCATTTAATTATGCATATAATTCATTTGATCATATAATTATGCTATGCATATAATTATGTTATGCATTTCGTCCGAGTAAATTATATGTAGCTGTTCAAAGCTACGATTTGTGACCGTGAGATATTTCTTTTTTCCTTTTTGAAGAAAGGGCCTTACAGAGACCAAAAGGAAAAAGGACGCAATATGTATCTGTTAGGTAGCAAAACGAAGTGAAATATGCATGGGTAAAATTATTAGCGCAACTCCTAGCGTAATGCATTTAAAAAAGAAAAGGATTAAGCTTGCAGTTAATGATTCAAGATAATCGCTTCAGCCCCCTTAGTTGTGGGTAATAATGGTTAGTTATAAAAATTCGCGGAAATTGACGAAGTGGACGACCAGCCTGCTGCTTTTCGAATATCGTCAACAGAAATACCTTTTCGAAGCGCGGCCGAAGAGTCGGCGTGACGAGAGAGTGAGTCGTAAAAATTGAGGTATCAACTCCTCCTTCAGACAGTGTTAGTCACACCCAGCGACTAATCGTTTAAGCGGATACGGACGGGCTTCTTAAAGCTAAGAAATAAAGCCGAAGAGGATTCTGACGAAGAATTATGCGCTGTCTTACTAATATATAAATGCAATAACGAGAAAATTGACAAAGCAGGCTGATCATCAAAGTGACGGAAAAACCATGACCGGTTGAGGCCAGTTCGAACCAGAGGAGAGAGAGAGAGTCTTCATACGATCAGGTACTTTAATAATGACGGTAGTTTCGAGGAATGAATATTACGTCGCTTAATTAACCCCAGAGTCTGTACACGCTGCACTGAAGCTAAAATTTGCAAGGTGGCAAGTTTGCGCGTAAGAAGTTCTAAAGACAAGGCCAAAAAGAGGCCAAATGACAGGCGTTGGATCCCATGTCAGTGCGTGCTTGGGTTTAGAAGGTTTTAAAACCGATACGCCTCTGAAAAAACGCCGTATTTTCGTCGTCTGAGCCAAGATTAACATCTGTGATAAGCGAGAGCGCTGAACGATACGAATTTAGGGTTCCATAAGCGTTAACCTTACGAAGCTGCGAAGATAAGAAGGAGAGAACCAGTATTATTTCCGGGCAAAACCAGTTGTTAATGCTGAGTGTCGAAATTCCACCACAATTGAATGGGCTTAGAATATTGCGATAGCATCGAGGCTGCAAGCGATACGAAGGCTGTCTTTATGGCGTCGTCCGGGAAACCTTTTCGGCTAAACGCTTGCCTAATAATTTTCCTATTACCAGGGAAATGTTGTGCCTGATTGGATATGGAGTCCTGAAAGAAGAAAGTAATAAATTAGGGTATGGCCAGAAGTGAATTGGATCCGATGTACATAATTGATGGAAGAGGGGAAACCAAGGTTGAGCTGGCTATCGGGGTACAACCAGAGTTGCTAGATGCAATATATTACGACGCTACAGCGCATGCGTGAGATGACGTAGGAGCACGCTACCTTGAGTAAAAGTCTCAGTATCGTATCTCTTAAGGTATTATAGCGCCTGTATTATACTATGCATTGAGAATTGCAATCGAGTAAATTAGATAATCTAAATCGTGTTTATTTTAATTGATCCGATAATTCTCAATCTACATTACAATTTTTCACTTAACAATGTCATTGTTACATAATACAAATATTATGTAATAGTTACATAGTCGAGTGAGAAATTATAATGTTAATGTAACTGTTACTTAGTATCCACTGGACAACATAACCTGAGATAAAGCATTCGCGCAAGAAACGCGGGAAAACTATGCGGCAAGACAGTTGATCGGATAGCGCGGGCCGCTCCATAGACCCTGCGATGCGCTTTATTGCCGTCATTGGCATATGCTTTTGTAGAGCTCCTAAGTCATCTCACGCATGTGCTGTAGCGTCGCAATATATTGCATCTAGCAACTATGAGTACAACTACAATGCCTTCCACCCGATCGTCTATGATCTTCCGCAAGCTTCTAGTAATAAGTGCGAAAGGAGAAAAAGTGTAAAAATAGAATTCCTCCCAGTCTAAAGTAAAAGCGTCGACTGCAAAAACAAAGGAATCCGGAAACCACGAGACAAAGGTATCACCTTTTGCATTATTATGAGTGGCAAATAAATCGATGTCGAATGATCCGAATCGTTTCTTAATTTTTGCAAAAAGGGAGGAAGTAAGCTCCTCTTCGGTGCCTATGGACATCGAGCGAGACTCTGTATCCGCCACAACGTTGTCAGCAAAGCGGATATAAGAAGCAAAGATATATAGGTGCTTCACACCATTGCCGGATTGACTTGGCGAGTACTGAGAGCTTGAGAAAACGATAGGCGCCCCCTTTATTAATATACGCTATAGCCGTTGTATTGTCAATGCGCAACAGGATATGTTGGGAACGTACATGACTCGCAAAAGATCTGAGAGCATACTCTCAGTCATTAATTTTAGAAGATTTATATGCTCTCTGCATTCCAAGTATGACCACCAATCGTGAGTTTTATTCGTGCAGACCAGATGCACCTGTGAGGGAGGTATCTGAAAAAATTTCCATATAGAATGCAATGTGCCTATTAAACTAGCAAATTCCGAATTTTGCAGGAACGTTTCTTGGAATATTTCTCAAGGCTATGTATTCTTAAGGCTAAATAACTATAATTTTGTTACTATATCATTATAGTTCTAAATATCATATACGTTTCTCTCAGTGTATGTTGGCAGAGCATTGTTTCTAGTCCCCGAAAAGCGGGAAGTCATCAAGGTAGATAACTGACAAGAAACCTCGTTCGCTTAGGTGAGCTGCGATAGGTCGTAATATCTTTGTAAAATTATACGGAGCTGTGGCGAAGCCGAAAGGTAATGCACATAACTCAAAAAGGCGTTCCTGGAAAGAAAAACGAAGATATTCGCGATAATTTGCATGAATTGGCACTAGAAATTTAGAATCTTCTAAATCTAATGTTGCCATAAACCAATTTTAAGATAGTAGACGGGTAGTAATCCCGAGATCCTCTATGAGAGAATGTAGCGGACAAGACCAAACTCTAAGTAATGGTTTGCAGTCCAGAAATGATGTCACTGAGCCTGCTTCGAAGGACAGCCTCAAGACATTAACTCAAGCTCACCTCCAGGGTTAAGGTTTTCCGTGTTCCCAAACGGAGGATCTGGTTCCGCCGTATAGGCTTCCTGACCGTTCGCACCGATGGAGAGGTTATGTTCGACACGATCGACCTCCTGCCGATCCGTGCGGGTTGAGCCCGAGTGCATGAGTAAATTGAGAAGAGCATCCAGCTTCTTCTCCAAGGAAATTGTCAACGGACATTCTGATGAACGAGAATGCACACTGGAAGAGCAGTGTTGTTGTCCGCGGGATTCATCACGCAGACACTTCGATCTGGAGGTTATATTATCTCTGTATCCGTGTCCGGAGAACATTCGCCAGAATGTTCTGAAAGAAAAAAGTAATAGATTAGTGTGACCGGAAACGAGACCGTTTCCGGGACTTTAAATGAGAGTGCTTTCCCATAATTTAAAGAGAGGAAACACTCGATGCTATTGTTCGGGAGAACAAGCAACATAATGAAGACGTGTGCCGCGCGCAGCACCAAGCGAGGTGCCAAATTGTTTTGTTTTGGCGCTCATCTTTAAAGATGCTTGTTCATTTCGGGAGTCATGTGACATGACTACATGTAATCTACTCGGACGAAACGCATAGCATAATTATATATATTATATAGTGAGATTGCTTAAATCTAAAATCGTATGGTTTGAGTGATATCGACTAATAAATACATTTAAATACTGACTTACAATAGTTTCAACATTCTTTGTAGAACAAATTACAATAACAATTTTGTCGAAATAGTTAAAAAATGTGATTTCGAAAATATGAAGTATCAACTACCTACGAAATCGTAACTTCCAAGAAAGGTTATTTAAACTATATAATCTTGTCCCTGACATGTGTATGTTTTAGCAAATGTTAGTAAGAGTAAAATCTCTTTTAAAATATTCTTTAGAATGAATAGATAGGCGGTTTCTAACCTTGAAGTATTTCTAGATTTAATTGCTTGCAAGACATAAAAAATGAGATTTTATTGTTAATCATATATATATATATCGTTCGAAAAATTATCTATATATTGTATAAAGATAATTTATAAATATATTGTATAAAGTATTAAATTTAAAATATAAGTAAAAATTATCTATAATTAAAAATTATCTCTGTAATCTAAAATTTACCTATACTCCTAAACTCTAATTACCTATACTCTATAAAATATTAAATTTAAATTAAAAATATATAATACTGAAACAAAAAATTTTGTAATTGTTTAATATCACAAAATATTGGGTTAAGTAAAAAGTTTTGAGCGTTTTCCGCTAGATGGCTTTAGTGAAGTCATATCTCACGATGTATACGTCGCATCTGGTCATTCTATACTGCGACTTAAAGGTGACATAACGCTTTAAAAAAAGTTCTTTGACAGTTTTGTGTTTGGTGAAGCCAGTTGTGTGTTAGAGCGTTCCAAAATGGAGGTAAAAAAAGAAAATTCGATACATTCTTCAGTACCACTACGACCAAAGGGAAAAAGCGGAGCAGGCGGCTAAAAAAATTTGTGCTGTTTATGGACCCAATACAATATCGAATGCAACAGCAAAGCGGTGGTTCCAACGATTCCATTCTGGTAATATGGACGTCGAAGATGAGACACGCTCTGGTAGGCCAATCGTCGAAAATGTTGATAAAATCATGGAAATCGTCGAGTCGGACCGGCATGCGAGCGCTTATTCCATTGCCCAGGAACTGAAGATTAGCCAGAAAACCGTTTGGAACCATTTGCATAAGGCTGGTCTCAAGAAGAAACTCGATGTATGGGTGCTACACGAATTGACGCAAAAGAACCTTTTGGACCGAATTCATGCCTGCGATTCTTTGCTGAAGCGTAACGCAATCGACCCATTTTTGAAGCGGATGGTGACTAGCGATGAAAAATGGGTCACATACGAGAATAACAGGCGAAAAAGATCGTGGTCGAAGCGCGGTGAGCCGGTCCCGGACGATCGCCAAGCCCGGATTAACTGCCAAGAAGGTTTTACTGTGTGTTTGGTGGGATTGGAAGGGAATCATCCACTATGAGCTCCCATCGGGCCAATCACTCAATTCGGACCTATACTGTCAACAACTGACCAGATTGAAGCAGGCGATCGACGAGAAGTGGCCAGAATTGGCCAATAGGAAGGGTGTTGTGTTCCATCAAGACAATGCCAGGCCGCACACATCTTTGACGACGCTCCAGAAGCTCCGAGAGCTTAGATGGGAGGTTATATTGCACCCGCCGTATAGCCCAGACCTGGCTCCAAGCGATTATCACCTTTTCAAGCATTTGCAAAATTTTCTTGATGGTACAAAACTGGCCTTAAGAGAGGCTTGTGAAAATGAGTTGGTCAAGTTTTTTACCAATAGGGACGAGGACTTCTTCAATCGCGGAATTATGAAATTGCCTTCAAAATGGACAAAAGTTATCGAACAAAACGGTGCATATTTGATCTAAATCCGATAATCCTAATTTTGTTAATTTCATCGTCGAAATAAAGAGAAAAAACGCTCAGAACTTTTTATTTCACCCAATATATTGTTTTTTTATATTAAGAGAATAGAAAAGAGTAGAAAAGAATATTTTCTTATTTGCTTTATTTTCATTAAAAAAATATTTTCATTTACTTTTCATAAAACTTTTTTTGACTTTTTCCGAGAATATTTTAACTCTTTTTTAAAATCCAGTCGCACAATTTCTATATTGAGTGCCATTAATGCCAACAGACACTATTTTTCTCAAAATCAGGAATTAATTTTAAATTTGTTTAATTCTATGAGTGAAAATTGTAGAAAACTTTTAAGGGAAGCTTTTTAAAAGATAAAACTTGAAACTTTATCATGATTACAATCAATTTGGTGAAAAATTTTTTTAACTCGGATTTTTAAGATATCTCAAAAACTATAACTTTTAAGGAGTCAAATATCTTTTAGTTTAGGAAGGTACAGATTTGTGAAATAATATTTTTTAAGTTCCTGTTTACTCAACTACTGTTTACACCATTATTTTAAATTATAATGTTAGGTCGAAGACTTGTAATGAGGAAAACTATACTAATAATTCTTACGACTGACATCAAAATAAAAATATGTCTTTAATGTGACGCTTAATTGATTGAGCATATTTATAAAATACTCTGAAAGTTTTTGTTGTAATTAACAAGTAGACGAAAAATTGATGTGACAAAATCACGAGAAAATAGAATAAAAAGAAAAATTGTATGTATTATCAATTTTGCGGTTGTTTATTGACTGTTAAAGCAAGAGGGAAGTTTTCGGGGCATTTTGTAACTATGCTCAATTGATTGAAAATATAATTTTATGGATGTTTTTTATTTTAATTCTTTATATTTATATTATATATTAAATATTTTATATTATATACACAGTCTATCCCACATACGATGAGACTGGTTTCATCAAAGTTCTTAGCGCAGCGACATCTATGAATGAATGATGGTAGATGAATGTTCTACCCTTCATCTACTTAACCTCAAAATTTGAGCGAATTCGGTTGATATTTCACTGTGGTTTGACATTTTATATAAAGTCACTTTGTGTACGTCGGTCGAAAAACCAACATGGAACAAAGAGCGAATATTAAATGCTGTTTTAAATTGGATAAAAGTGGTGCAGAAACGTACGAAACGCTAAAAAATGTGTACGGAGATGAATGCATGTCCCGTGCACAGGTTTTCCGTTGGTTTGGCCGATTCCGTGACGGTCGTGAGAACCTTGCAGATGATGACCGAGCACCGCCGCCAAGAACCACACGCAATGAAGAAAACATCGAGAAAGTCAAAGAAATTCTTCGAAGCGACCGCTGTGTGTCTGCGAGACTCATCGAAGAGGAAACTGGGATACCGAAAAGCACAGTCTATCGAATTTTGACCGAAGATTTAGGCAAACGGAAGGTCTGTGCGCGCTTCGTGCCACACACTCTGATAGACGACCAAAAGAGAAAAAATTACGCTTTCAGAAGAGCAAAATCAAGACAATGCTGACCGTTTTCTTCGATTCAAAGGGAATTGTTCACAGTGAATTCGTCCCAGAAGGTCAGACGGTGAACGCAGAATATTATCTGGGAGTTCTACAACGATTGTGGGCCAGAATTCGACGAGTTCGACCGGAATATCGAGAGCCAGGCAGTTGGTTTTTGTTGCACGATAATGCACCATCGCACAAAGCCATGGTACGTGAATTCTTGACCAAAAAAGGCATCATTGTTATCGATCATCCACCGTATTCACCTGATTTGGCTCCGTGCGGCTTCTGGCTATTTCCCAAACTGAAATTGGCGATGAAAGGAAATCGTTTCGATACCATCCCGGTTATCCAAACGACTTCGACCGCCATACTAAAGGCCATTCCAGCCGATGAGTATAAAAAATGTTTCGAAAAATTTGTTGAACGTTTCCAGCGCTGTATTGACTCAGAAGGAGACTATTTTGAATAAACAAGAATAAAAAATCAAAATAATAAACGCTTTGTATTTTTTTTAGACCAGTCTCATTGGATCTGGGACAAACTGTGTATATATATTGATTTATATTATTTTATATCTATATAATTATATTATTTTAATCCTTTTCATTTCGACGTAATCCATAGGAATTTTTGACATAGATTTCCGTGTTTCTGATGTCATCGACCAAAAGTTTCGCGACAGAGAACCAGCAATCTTAAATCTATCGAAATACCTTGAAATATATATAAAAGCTTGTTTCTTTAAAATATATTTTAAAATATATTTTTAAAATGTTTATTTTATTTTATCTTAAAACTAGAGTGGTTTAAAATTTGTTATTTTTTGAAAAAAAAGTGTTCCCTGTATTTTGAAAAAAAATTATATACAAGGTGTCCCATTCTTAATCCCCCAGGCAAATATCTCGAAAAATATGGAAGATACGGAAAAATGTTTCGGACAAAAATTATATGGTTTTAAGGAGGACATAGAACAACTATATCAATTTGTTTACACATAGCGCCATTTTCGAGATATTTACTGATCATTACTTTTCTTAAATGGAAACCCCAATTTTTTATTACACTGTCTTTTTTTACTAATTAATTTAAACAACTTTTATCTAAAACATTTTTTTATTTACTTAATATTTTTTGAGATATTTTTTGAGATAAGGAAAACTTGGTAACTTTTTCAATATTTAATTTACGATATCTCGCTAACTATTTGTCGGAAGAAAAATAGTATTAGACTATTTTACTTTATTTGAGCTCAAGAATGTATTACAATAATGCCCTAACTTTTGTTAACTTACCGACTTTTAGAAGTTTCAAAATCATTAAATTAACAAAAATCAGGATGCTATTGTAACAATATATTTTTGAGACTGAATAAAGTAAAAAAGTCTAGTACCATTTTTCCTTTCGACAATAAGTTAGCGAGATATCGTAACTTAAATATCGAAAAAGTTACCAAGTTTTCTTTAAATATCTCAAAAAATATTAGGCAAATATAAAAATGCTTCAAAAGTTGTTCAAATTAATTGGTAGAAATAGATGATATAATAAAAAATTGGGATTTCCATTTAAGAAAAATAACGATCAGTGAATATCTCAAAAGTGGCGTTATCTGTAAACAAACTGATATAGTAATTCTATGTCTTCTTTAAAACCATACAATTTTTGTTTGAAACATTTTTCCGTATCTTCCATATTTTTCGAAATATTTGTCTGGGGTTTTTAAAATGACCTGTATCTATATATAATGTATCATATATTGGGGACTTGAATAAGTTCTCGCTGTTTCCCGACAAATGGTGTTATCTTAGCCTTTTTGCATCGGGCAATACTACAGCCAATTTCATCGTGAAGCTCCACTATTAGGCTCGAAGTGACAGTATATGTTATTCCGCCGAAGCGTAAATAACATATTTTTTCATAGCGTTAAACATGTCGAATTTCGTGCCAAAAAATGAGTATTTGCGGGGAATTTTACTGCATTACTTTTTTCAAAAAAAATCTGCAGCTGAAGCACATAGAATTCTTGTGGAGATTTACGGCGACCGTGCTCTGAAGCGGAAACAATATGCAGAGATTGGTTTAGACGCTTTAAAATTAATGATTTGATGTTGAAGATAAAGAACGCTCTGGCGCACCGACAAAGTTTAAAGACGAAGAATTGGAAGCATTACTGGATGAAGACCCATGTCAGATGCAAAATGAACTTGCAGAATCATTAGGAGTTGATCACACAACAATTGCCAAACGTTTAAAAGCATTAGGAATGATTCAAAAGCAAGGAAATTGAGTGCCGTACGACTTGAAGCCAAGAGACGTCGAATGGCGTTTTCTCACGTGTGAACAGCTGCTCCAACGGCAAAAAAGGAAAGATTTTTTGCATCGTATCGTGACTGGCGATGAAAAGTGCATACACTACGATAACCCGAAGCGTAGAAAATCGTGGGGTAAGCCCGGCTATGCATCAACATCGACGGCAAAGCCGAATATCCATGGTTCCAAGCTCATGCTCTGTATTTGGTGGGATCAGCTGGGTGTAGTATATTATGAGCTCCTCAAATCCAACGAAACTATTACGGGAGATCGCTATCGACTACAATTGATGCGTTTGAGCCGAGCATTGAAGGAAAAACGGCCGCAATACGAGGAGAGACACGACAAAGTAATTTTGCAGAATGACAACGCTCGGCCACATGTTGCAAAACCGGTCAAAACCTACTTGGAAACGCTCAAATGGGAAGTCCTACCCCACCCGCCGTATTCACCGGACATTGCCTCTTCCGATTACCACTTGTTCCGACTGATGACTCATGGCCTGGCTGAGCAGCACTTCCATTCTTATGAAAATGCCAAAAAATGGGTCGATTCGTGGATAACTTCAAAAGATCGTTCTTTCGACTAATATTTGTATACTGCCAAAAAGATGGGAGAAAGTAGTGGCTAGTGATGGACAATACTTTCAATGACATGTTCTTTACTAATTTTTTAAAATAAAGCATTCATTTCCACGAAAAAACAGCGAGAACTTGTTCAAGGCCCCAATAATATAAATATAAATAAATCATAACATAACATAATTACATCTTATAATAATATCAGTAATTAGCATATTAGTGATCATAGATAATATATGCTTTATCTTGAAAATTTTAATTGAATAATAATCTTTCCTTTTCATTTGTATTCGCGTCTGTATTTATGTTGCGAACATGCATAGACGTAAACGTACTTGTTTGCGTACCATCATACTCGTCGCGAGTTGCGACACTTGTTTTGTGACCTAGATTCCCAGCTTTACGCGCTTTCTCTCCCACTCTGCCTAGATATAACTCTTTCTCTACTAAGCTGTACCATGTGTCACCAGTGATGTACTTTAAGTGTATGTCAAGCACTCTATACATATAAGCTTAAAAATTTTTACGTATACAATTTTTTTTTATTTTATTTTCATAAGA